CACTGAAAGTTCAACATGGCACCTCATGGCAAAGATCTGAGTATCTGACAAAAAAAAAAAAAAAATGTTGCTCTACATAAAAGATTGCCTGGGCTATAAGAAGATTGCCAAGACCCTGAAACTGAGCTGCAGCATGATGTCCAAAAGCATACAGCAGTTTAACAGGACAGGTTCCACTCAGAACAGGCCTCACCATGGTCGACCAAAGAAGTTGAGTGCACATGCTCAGTGTCATATCCAGAGGTTGTCTTTGGGAAATAGATGTATGAGTACTATCAGCATTGCTGCAGAGGTTGAAGAGGTGGGGGGTCAGCCTGTCAGTGCTCAGACCATACGCCGCACACTGCATGAAATTGGTCTGCATGGATGTCATCCCAGAAGGAAGCCTCGTAGAAAGATGATGCACAAGAATACAAGAGGATTACTGGAACCATGTCCTGTGGTCTGATGAGACCAAGATAAACTTATTTGGTTCAGATGGTGTCAAGTTTGTGTGGCGGCAACCAGGGGAGGAGTACAAAGACTACTTTGTCTTGCCTACAGTCAAGCATGGTGGTGGAAGTGTCATGGTCTGGGGCTGCATTAGGGCTTCCGGCACTGGGGAGCTACAGTTCACACACACTATATATTTGGACACAGGCACAATTTTAGTTTCAGGTATTTACCAAAACGTAGTCAAGCTACAGCTATATAATGGATATGGGCTTAAAGTGCACACTGTCAAGTTTAATATATCCAAATTGGAGGAAGGGTATAGGAATTATAGCTCTTAAGAGTAGCCATCCCCCCTTTTTCAAGGGACCAAAAAGTAATGGATAAAATATAATCAAATAAAATGTTCATTTTTTCATATTGTGTTGAGAATCCTTTACTGGCTATGACTACCTGAAGTCTGGAACCCATGGACATTACCAAAGACTGTGCTTCCTCCTTTCTGATTCTTTGCCAGGCTCTAACTGCAGCTGTCTTCAGTTCTTTCTTTGTGGGTCTTTCTGCCTTTAGTTTTGCCTTCAGCAAGTGAAATGCATGCTCAGTTGGGTTGAGATCAGGTGACTGACTTGGTCATTGCAGAATATTCCACTTTTCTTTCAAAGCTCCTGGGTTGCTTTTGCAGTGTGTTTTGGATCATTGTCCATCTGTACTGTGAAGCGCCGTCCAATCAACTTTGCTGCATTTGGCTGAATCTGGGCTGAGTGTATCTCTAAACACTGCAGAATTCATCTGGCTGTTTGTCTTCTGTCACATCAATAAACACGAATAACCCAGTGCCACTGGAAGCCATGCTTGCCCATGCCATCACACTGCCGCCACCATGTTTTACAGATGACGTTGTGTGCTTTGCAACATGAGCTGTTCCAAGCCTTCTCCACACTTTTTTCTTCCCGTTATTCTGGTACAGATTAATCTTAGTTTAATCCGCCCAAATAATGCTTTTCCAGAAACTGGTCTGGCTTTTTTAGATTTTTTTTTTCGCAAAGTCTAATCTGCCTTTTCTATTCTTCAGGCTTATGAATGGTTTGCACTTTCTGGTGAACTCTCTGTATTTTGCTCTCGTGACGTCTTCTCTTGATTGCAGACTTGTACAATGACACGCCTCCCTCCTGGAGAGCGTTGTTCACTTGTCTGGATGTTGTGAATGGGTTTTTCTTTACCATACAGACAATCCAGCGATCATCCACCACTGTTGTCTTCCATGGACGTCCTTGCCTTTGTATGTTGCTGAGCTCATCAGTGGATTCTTCTTTCCTCAGAATGTACCAAAACTGTTGATTTTGGCCACTCCCAATGTTGCTGCTCTCTCTCTGATAAATTTGTGTCATTTTGTTTTTTTGTCATTTTGTGTTTTTTGTGAAGCCTTACAAGGGCCTGTTTCACTTGCATGGACAGCTCCTTTGAGCACATGATGTAGGTTCACAGCAATAAATTCCCAAATGCAAATACCACACTTAGAATCAACTCCAGTCCTTTACCTGCTTAATTGATGAAGAAATAATGAAGGAGTGTAGCCCACACCTGGCCATGAAACAGCTTTTGATTCAAACTGTCCAATTACTTTTGGCCCTTAAAAGAGGGGGGATGGCTAATTTTAAGAGCTGTAATTCCTAAACCCTTCCTCTTATTTGGATGTACATATCCCCAAATTAAACCTGAGAGTGTGCACTTTCAGCCTATATCCATTATAACTATAGCTTGAATATGTTTTGGTAAATACCTGAAAAAAACAAAAAAACACAAAAAAATTGTGCCTGTGTGTCCAAATATATATGGACCTAACTGTACCTACATCCACAGTGTGTGTGTATGTATATATATATATATATATATATATATATATATATACATACATATATACACACATACACTGTATATATATATATGTATATATATACAGTCATGGCCGAAATTGTTGGCACCCTTGATATTTCTCCAGGAAATCATGTATTTCTCACGAAACGTATTGCATTAACACATGTTTTGCTATACACATGTTTTATTCCCTTTTTGTGTGTATTGGGACAAAACAAAAAAAGGGAGGAAAGAAAGCAAATTCGACATAATGTCACACAAACCTCCAAAAATGGGCTGGACAAAAGTATTGGCACCCTTTCACAACTGCGGATAAATAAGAATGTTACAAGCATGTGATGCTCCTGTAAACTCACCTGGGGCAAGTAACAGGTGTGGGCAATATAGAAATCACACCTGAAAGCAGATAAAAAGGAGAGACGTTCACTTAAACCTTTGCATTGTGTGTCTGTCTGTGCCACACTAAGCATGGACAACAGAAAGAGGAGACGAGAACTGTCTGAGGACCTGAGAACCAAAATTGTGGCAAAATATCAACAATCTCAAGGTTACAAGTCCATCTCCAGAGAACTAGATTTGCCTTTGTCCACAGTGCGCAACATTATCAAGAAGTTTGCAACCCATGGCACTGTAGCTAATCTCCCTGGTCGTGGACGGATGAGGAAAATTGAATGAAAAGATTGCAACGCAGAATAGTCCGGATGGTGGATAAGCAGCCCCAAACATGTTCCAAAGACATTCAAGCTGTCCTGCAGGCTCAGGGAGCATCAGTATGTGTCAGTCAGCGCGAACTATCCGTCGACATTTTAAATGAAATGAAACGCTATGGCAGGAGACCCAGGAGGACCCCACTGCTAAGAGACATAAAAAAAGCAAGACTACAGTTTTGCCAAAATGTACTTGAGTAAGCCAAAAGCCTTCTGGAAAAACGTCTTGTGGACAGATGAGACCAAGATAGAGCTTTTCGGTAAAGCACATCATTTACTACTGTTTACCGAAAACGGAATGAGGCCTACAAAGAACAAAACACACAGTACCTACGGTAAAAATATGGTGGAGGTTCAATGATGTTTTGGGGTTGTTTTGCTGCCTCTGGCACTGGGTGCCTTGACTGTGTGCAAGGCATCATGAAATCTGAGGATTACCAAAGGATTTTGGGGTTCGCACTGTAGGGCCCAGTGTCAGAAAGCTGGGTTTGCGTCCAAGATCCTGGGTCTTCCAGCAGGACAATGACCCCAAACATACGTCAAAAAGCACTCAGAAATGGATGGCAAAGAAGCGCTGGAGAGTTCTGAAGTGGCCAGCAATGAGCCCAGATCTAAATCCCATTGAACACCTGTGGAGAGATCTTAAAATTGCTGTTGGGGAAAAAGGTGTCCTTCCAATAAGAGAGACCTGGAGCTGTTTGCAAAGGAAAGAGTGGTCCAAAATTCCGGTGTGAGAGGTGTCAGTGCCTCAAAGCTTATTGATGGTTATAGGAAGCGACTGATTTCAGTTATGTTTTTCCAAAGGGTGTGCAACCAAATATTAAGTTAAGGGGTGCCAATACTTTTGTCCAGCCCATTTTTGGGGTTTTGTGTGACATTATGTCATATTTGCTTTTCTGCCTCTGTTTTATATTTGTTCCAATACATACAAAGGGAATAAACATGTGTATAGCAAAACATGTGTATAATGCAATACCTTTTTTGTGTGAAATACTTGATTTTCAGGAAAAAATATCAAGGGTGCCAACAATTTCGGCCATGACTGTATATATATATATATATATTTTTTTTTTTAATTCGAAAATTTACCAATTCTTACGTACTGACAGTCTCTCAATTTCTGAGGCCCTACAAAGCCAGGCCAGTACAATTAACACCCAAATTACTCCATTTTGGAAAGTAGATAGTCAGTTATTTAGTAAGAGGCATGGCAAGTTTTTGAAGTTGTAATTTGTTTTCACAATTTTTTTTTTCTTTACATACGGCCACCAGTGCAGCACAGTCGTCACAACTGGTGTGGGGTGATCCCAATTTTTTTTACTTTTTTTTTTTTTACACTGTACTACTCTAAGGGGTGATCAGGTTTCCCAAATTATGAACAGCTTGCTTTTGATTATGCTCTGTGTTTGGCTAAGCAACTCGCATGGTATAGATACCATGTGATTGCTGTGGGCTAATCACAGATCACAAACAGTAAGCAAGCTGCTCATGAATGGAAAGCCATTCATGACAGGTTGTTAACACTGTTATGTGATCACTATGACCAAATATAATGATCAGTAACAGCAATCCACTATGTCTGGTGAACACAGCGGTCACAGGAGGGGCACACTGCAAGCTCCTAAACCGCAGCAGGCTCAATCATGCAAGTATACATAACTGAGCCTGCATGTGCCACCCCGCCGCATTAAACATACTGTGACAGAGCAGCAAGTGGTTGGAGTGGTGTGGACAAAGTAGATCACAGCAAGAAGTATGTCTAGTGAAACTGGAGTTAGGTTTTAAGTGGAGCTGCTTGAGCAAACTTAGGAATCAATGGAAGATAAAGTTATTAATAAAATGCTGCACCTGATATACAGCAAGTGATTCTAGGCCTTAGAATAACAAATTACAGTAACACGTCCCAAGCAAAAATAGTTACAGTACCACCAGCAGAATTACAGCATAACAAAGTGACAGTTTATAATGAACATGCAAGCAGATTACCTTCTTCTGCACAGTTTCCTTCCTCGGCTGCAACTCCAAAGAAGAATATATTTTTGCTATGGGGCGCAATCCATTTTTTTTTGGAATGAAGCGTAATGTGGATACGAGGGAATGATTTTTCTTTTGTTGCATGCCCTTTATTTCATCAGGAGACATTAAATGCAGCTGTACATTTCTCATATGTTTCCTTTTAAAATGAAAATTAGAACAGTTTAAACTTATATTGGGTATACATATACAAATACTGTACCAATTTCAGGTCATATAAAACATGTGCTTTAGGAATTGCAGACTTGTAGGTTTTAGGACTGCTAAAAATGAATTATTTCATATAACAAACTGCAAACAAGCTGTATATTCTCCCTAAGGCTTTCTTCATTACTCCCTAGATTACAGAAAACCACTTGCCAATATAGGAGAGATAAATATTTTGGCATAGCTCCCAACTATCCTGATTTTAAATGGACTACCTTGCTTAAGCGTAATTATCCCATTTTGTCCAACACTTGGCTCAATTCTCAAAGAATACTTACAGGAAGCTTCTGAAAAGGAGGAAGTTGTAAGCTGAACTCTGCCTGGAAAAATACTTGGTCCAAAAGAATAGGATAAGTCTTCAGGAAAAAATGTTTGGACAGAGTGATTTTGCTTCATTTATTTATTTTATTGAAAAGGTATCAAAAGAACAAAGCAGGTGGCATTGGGCGGAGCCTGACTATGGCGGCCGAGGAGAGTTCGAGGTAGGAACTCTCGGCTCAGCCTCCTCTATCCGATCCCCTCCAGGCCCCCAAGCTCCAACAGGTATGGAGAAAGATTAACAGGAGAAGACTCACCCCTGTTTAGCGGGTACCCTGGGACGAGTGGGGGCCCGTGGTAAAGGGGACTTGGAAACCGGAGATCAGCTGGAGGGCAGCTCTGCAGGGAAGCCGTGACTGGATGCCGAGGAGTGAGGGGGCGCAGCTCGAGTGTGTAGCTGGCCGCAATGCACTGCTGGGAGGCGAGGAAGCCGGCCGGCGTCTGACAAGTGGAGGGAGAGAAGCTGAGCCGCCTGCCGCCCAGCTAGCTTAGAGCTGGGAGAGAGAGCTGCGGAGAGGAGAGAGACGGAGTGGTTGGGGGGAGAGAGGGCAGAGGAGATTGCAGCCCTCTGGACAGCAGACTCCTCCACAGCAATTTACAGTGGCCCAGCCCCCCTCCACCATAGATCCCAATGTTTCCATAGCCCTCTGTACCACAACCCCCAGCATTCCAAACTCTCAGTGCTCCACACCCCCCCTGAACCACAACTCCCAGCGTTCCCTTGCCCCCCCAGCACTACAACTCCCAGCGGCACCATGTGGAGCCCCCCTGAGGAAAAGAAGAAAGGCTGATCTACTGTATGGACTGAAGAAGAGAGCCCGATGCCATCTCACAGGAAGAGAAATGCGAAGGGGCGAGTGAGACTGGCTATGGCTTTATGCATAAATCTTGTATTGAGCTGGTGGGGAAGCAGAATGTGAGAGAAATAGGGGGGACTCCCAGAAGAATAGAAAGACTGAGAAGAAGATTGGGGAAGGAAAGGGCTAAAAGAAAAGGTGAATAGACAGGGCTGGGACTTGCATGTCAACGGCTGTCTTTCTTTAACGACGAGTTTCCAGAGGAAAAAAAAAAAAAAAGGTAAAAGTCACAGAAGAAATGAAAAATAAAAGTGCAAAGGGGAGTGGGCTTAAAGGGACCCAAACTGGCACAATCAAAAAATATACGTCTCAGGGAAACGTGACCCCAGAAAGGCCTCAGAGTAGAAATGAAAAAGGAGAAAGTCCCTAGTCCGCAAAATAGTTCCAGACAGTCACTGGATCTGTAATCAGCAAATATCAGAAAATATAGAGCGTGAAAAAGATTTACAAATACCAAACAAAAAAGAGATGGCAGAAATGTTCAAAGAACTAGAGAGAATAAAGCAAGAAATGGTAAATATTCGGAATGATCTGGAGGCAGCTGTTGGTAAGAGTGGAAGAAACGGAGCAGAAAGTTAAAAATCAGACCCAGATTATATCCAAATTAGAAAAGAAGATAATATGGGGAAAACTCAGGAAAAATTGCTGTATAAGGCGGAAATGCAAGAGAACAGAGAAAGGAGGAGAAATATCAGGATACGAGGGGTTCCACAAAGCCCAAAAGGAGAAATACTGTATGAGGTGACTTGCAAAATATTAAACTCTATAATGGAAAATTCTGATATGGAAAGGACTAAAATAGAAGGAATTTTTAGAAAAGGGAAACCCCATCTTGGGAAGGAAAAGGCCGAGAGATATACTGGTGAAATTTTATGATCTTCAGGAAAAAGAAAAAATCTGGAGGAAAATTAAGGGAAAACCTGTTTTCAAGTATGGATAAATAGATATTCAGATATATGCGGATTTATCACCAGAGACTTTGTGGAGGAGGAGAGCTCTGAGACCTTTGCTAGAACAGATGAAAAAACAGAGGGGGGGGGGGGGGGGGGAGGAGGAGAGAGAGGGGGAGAGAGTGTTTTTTTTTTTTCCTCTCTCTCGCCTTCCTCTTCTCCCCTCACCCGCCCGGCCTATCTCCTTTTTTTCTCTTTTTTGAGATGTCTTTGCAGAAAGTGGGGGCCAATGGGGGATTTGGATAGAGGCGAAGCCGCCCTTGGGAGGAGTGAAGCCCTAAGGATTAAATCAAAGGTGGACTTATCGCCACAATGATTGATAGGCAAATTAAAGGCCTAAAAAGGGAGGGAGGGAGGGGGGGGTGGAGAGGGGAGGGAGAGGGGTTGAGGGATTATTGGGAGGGGGGAGGTGGGACACGGTTAGAAAGAAGAGGGGGTGGGAGGGGCTTTAGGGACAACACTCTGCATGATAGAAGGGGAAAAAAAAAAAATTAGGGATACAAGACGTATGGAAGATTTACGATTTATAACATATAACGTAAAGGGATTGAACTGTCCTGGGAAGAGATTTAAACTATTCAAGGAGCTACAGCAGAGAGAGGCTTTGGTGGTATTCTTGCAGGAGACACACCTTGAGATTAAAGACAAATATAAAGTTGCACTCTAGAAATTACCCAACATGGTTTTATGCGGATTCCCCAATCAAGAGAGCTAAGGGAGTAGCAATAGGGTTTGCAAAAAACATAAGGCTGGAGATAGAAGAGAGAGAGGTAGATCCTGAGGGGAGATTTTTGTTTTTGAAGGGTAGACTACAAGAGCAGGAATGTACAATTGTGAATATCTATTGCCCAAATAAAAGACCAGAAGTTTATCTGAAGGGAGTCTTGAGAAAACTGATGGCCTTTAAGAAGGGACGCTTGATAGTGGCAGGGGATTTGAATTTTTGTATGGACCCACAAATGGATACGACCTCTTCCGTGCGAGAGGGAGGTAGAGCTCTGAGAATCCTGAAAGGGGTGATACATGAGTGTCAACTGGTGGATATTTGGAGAGTGATCCATGGAAAAGAGAGAGACTATACTTTCTTCTCTAAAGCACACGAGATGTATTCCAGATTGGACTATATATTGGTAGATCATCAACTTATAGAAATGGTAGATAAAGTAGATATAGAGGCGATGTCTCTTTAAGATCATGCCCCTGTTACACTGAAAGTGAGGTGGGGAGGACGATCGACAGGTGGGATAGGATGGAAGTTGAACGAGGCTCTTCTCCTGGATCTGGAGGTGGATCAGAAAATTAGAGAAGAGATCGAAAGATTTTTTCAGGAGAATGAGACAGGGGAGGTGTCGGTGGCTACAGTGTTGGAGTCCCATAAGGCCTATATAAGAGTTATATTGATTGCGTCCGGGGCAAAAAAGAAAAGGGAAAGAAGAGAGAAACTTACTGGGCTGTTAAAAGAAATATTTGATTTGGAGCAGATACATAAAAATAAAAGAACAGAAGAGATAAGACAGAAGGTAATAAAGAAAGAAGAACTAGAGCTACTGATGGAGGAGGAGAAGAGTTTTTAACAAAGTTGCAAGTGAGAGATCTAGATGGGGAGACAGACCAGGAAAATATTTAATGAGAGCCTTGAGGGAAAAGAAAAACAGGAACTATATAGAGAAAATAAAAAACCCCAAGGGGGAAATGGTTTATTCTACTAAAGAGATCGTTAAGGTGTTCAAAGAATACTATAGTAAGCTGTATAATATTGCCTCCCAAGATCCAGTAAATATAAGTGGAAATGAGAGAAGAGAAAAAAGAAGGGAATATTTAAAAAATGCAGGACTACCAAAGCTAAATGAGGATCAACTGAATTCCCTTGACTTGGAAATTACGCAAGAGGAAATAATAAGAGCATTAAAAAGTACCATGACGGGGAAAAGCCCAGGCCCAGATGGTTATACAGTGAGGTACTATAAAAAATACAGTGACTTGTTACTACCTAAATTGAAGAAATATATAAATGCCCTGGGAGGAGAGATGGAGATGAGACTGGAATCTTTACAGGCCCATGTGGTGCTGATACAAAAGGAAGGGAAGGATGTTTCTCAGTGCTCTAGCTATAGACCGATATCACTTTTGAACATAGACACTAAGCCAGTGGTTCTTAACCTGGGTTCGATCGAACCCCAGGGGTTCAGTGAGTCAGTCTCGCGGGTTCGGCAGAGGTGAAGACCCACACCCGACTCATATGATTCGTGCAGTAAATATTCATTATTATGTTTTTGTGTGAAAATCATGTTTTAATGGTTTCGTTCTTTGTTCTTAACGGTTTTGTTCATTTTGTGCACCTATGTATAAATATATACCTATGTTTTGAATTTAAAAAAATCATATTTTATTTTTCCAATTAAGAAGGGTTCGGTGAATGCGCATATAAAACTGGTGGGGTTCAGTACCTCCAACAAGGTTAAGAACCATTGCACTAAGCTATACGCAAAGGTTCTAGCAAATAGGCTAAAAGACTTAATGCCAGAATGGATCCAGGGGGATCAGGTAGGATTTGTTCCAGGGAGGGAGGGTAGAGATAATGGGTTGAGAACTCTGTTGCTTATCCAGAAAGCTAGGAAGGGGAAAACCCCGGTAGTAGTGCTTTCGATCGATGCTGAAAAGGCATTTGATAGAGTAGATTGGAGCTTTATGATAGATACTCTGGAGAGTCTAGGAATGGGAGCAAGAATGAGAAAGTGGATAGGAAAGTTGT